GACTTCTGTTGGGATTCTGGTTGAGGGCTGGTTACCGTAAAGCCCTTACCATGATTAGAAGATTGGAACTTTCAGCCTGACCACACCACCTTCAAGGAATGGAAAAGAGGCTGGAGACTGAGTTAATAATTAATCATGCCTACATGATGAAGCTTCCATAAAAATCCCTGAATTGTAATCTTTAGAGTAGTTTGATTTGCATTTATCTAATTGCTAGAGATGTTGAACATTTTTTCATATATTTGTTGATTGATATATTCTGAGAAGTGTCTGCTCAGTTCCTTGGTCTATTTATTGATTGAGTTATTTGGTTTTTTTTTTTTTTTTGGTGTTAAGATTTTTGAGTTCTTGTGTATCCTAGAGATTAGTGCTCTATCTGATGTACATGTGGTAAAAATTTTCTCCCATTATGTATGCTCTCTATTCACCTCATTGATTGTTTCTTTTGCTGAGAAGAAGCTTTTTAGTTTGAATCCACCCATTAATTGATCCTTGATTTTAATTATTGCGCTATAGGAGTCTAATTAAGGAAGTCAGGGACTAATTCAACATGATGGAGATTTGAGCCTACATTTTTTCTATTAGATGTAGGGTCTCTGGTTTAATTCCTAGGTCCTTGGTCCAGTTTGAGTTGAGTTTTGTGCATGGTGAGAGATAGGGGTTTAATTTCATTTTGTTGCATATGGATTTCCAGTTTTCCCAGCACCATTTGTTGAAAAGGCAGAACCAACCTAGATGCCTTTCAATAAATGAATGGATAAAGAAAATGTGATATAAATACACAATGGAATATCACCCAGCATTTAGAGAATAAAATCATGATATTCGCAGGTAAATGGATGGAGTTGGAGAATATAATGCTAAGTGAAGTAAGCCAATCCCCAAAAAACCAAATGCCTAATGTTTTCTCTGATATAAGTGTGCTGATTCATATTGAGAATGGCGGGAGCATAGGAGGAATAGACAAACTCTAGATAGGGCAAAGGGGAGGGAGAGGAAGGGAGGGGGAATGAGGGTAGAAAAGGCTGGGGAATGAAATGGACATCATTACTCTAAATATACAAATGAAGACACGAATGGTGTGACTCTACATTGTGTACAACCAGAGATATTAAAAATTGTGCTGTGTAATATGAATTAAATAACATTCTGCTGTCATATATGACAAATTAGAATAAATTTTTTTAATTGTCAATGGATCTTTTATTTAATTAATTAATTAATTAATTAATTTATTTATTTATATGCAGTGCTGAGGATCGAACCCAGGGCCTCACACATACCAGGCAAGCACTCTATCACTGAACCACAACCCCAGCCAAAAATTTCTTGTAGTTGTAGATGGACAGCATTTCTTTATTTTATTTGCTTATTTTTGTGTGGTGCTAAGGATCAAACTCAGTGCTTCACACATGCTAGGCAAGCGTGCTGCCCTGAGCTACAGCCCCAGGAAATATTTTTTCTTTCTTTTAGTTGTAGTTGGACAAAATACTTCATTTTATTTATTTATTTTTATATGGTACTGAGGATTGAACCCAGGGCTTTGCCCATACTAAGCGAGTGCTCTACTGCTGACCCACAACCCCAGTCCTATATACCTTTAAAATTTTTTTTTCAATGTGGAAGCTCTGTGATGTTTTACATAAAATAAATATTGAATAATTAAAAAAAAATTAAATCCCTGAATTGTAGTTCCAAGAGTGTCCAGACTGCTGAACTCACAAAAATTAGTTCGTGGAGGGTGGTACCCTAGGAAAGAGCATGGAAGCATAAAACTCCTTCTCCCATGCCTTATGCTACGCATATTTTCCAACTAATTGTTCCTAAGATAAATCCTTTGTAATGGACTGATCATCTAGTAAGTAAACTCTAAGCAATGGGACCTACTGCTTGCATTTGTGTCTGAGTAGTAGATAGTCTTGTGCAAGTTAACTCTAATCTATGTGATCTGACATAATCTCCAAGTAGACAGTGTCAGAATTGATTTAAATAGTAGGACAACCAGTCAATGTAGGCAGGTTAATTGAATTGATGTGTAAGAAAAACAAAAACAAAAACCCACACATCAGATGTCAGAGGTGAGGTGTACAGATTGTTGAGAGTGTAGTAGAAGGGTTTTGTTTGTTTGCTTGTTTGATTTTGCTTTTATTTTAATACAGAAAACAGTGCAAAAGAAAACTACCTGATGGCAGATAGGAAAAGAAAGAAATTATTTTTTAATATGCAGGAAATAACAGCATTATTATATACTAGTATATATACTAGTAGAGAAACCTCTTGATAATGTAGGAGAGACATAAGAGACTTGCTAGAATTATGTCATTGAATAAGAAAAAAAATGGAATGCAATGTTCATGTGGATGGCTTGGTTTAGGTGGATACAGAGATTATTCATCTCTAATAGCAAGCAAGAAGGCAGAACATGTGGGTATAGAAGGAGGTAGGGATCTGGACATTTTCTTCTAATTGCTTTAATTTTATTAGTAAAATAGGACTTAAGACTAACAACTGAACGTGACTTTGGGATGATTAATGGATTATTTAATGAACAATAAGGCAGGTGGTAATACTACTGCTCTCCAAGGGTTAGTTCAGGCTGCATCAGGGCTTCAACCAGTGTCTGGGCATGAGTGGATAGAGTGTAGCAGGGGCACAGGTAGAGATAATTGAGTCTACATTTTGCTAGGAAGATACTAGGCATCAGGGCTCTACTACAAAAGTTGGGTTCAGGTTAAGCATTGATTACAATAATGAAGACAACCCAGAAAACATCAGAAAATTAAGGCAAGGCCATGAGCAAGAACTGAACAAAGAAGGAAGACTTTACTTTTTTATGGGGTGCAATGAACCCATTTCAATTATAGCTAGGTCCCATTAGAAACACAAGTTTTGATTTTACTTCTATATTCTGCTCAAGTGGGGATGAGAAGGATAGAAGGGATGAACTGATGCATAGAAACCTTTTGTTGCATGGGCTTGAGATTGTTGGGATAAACAGAAAATTAGAGAATTCAGCTTATTTTAGTTCTATTTACATAATGCCAAATTGTGGAATTCTATCAATTATGTTAATATCTTCTCTATATAAGCAAGCAAATTTTTGCAAATAACTGAATATTGGGCTTGTTCCAACATGGTTTCTGACATCTCAACATAAGACTGTAATTTCTAAGTAAAGTAGATAGTGAAATGTTGTGATAATGTATTCTTTTCAACTAATTCAAATGTTTATATACATCATAACATGCTATTCCACAAGGCAGATAGCATTATATTAGATGAGAATGCTGTATGAGAGTGTTGCAAAATATCTGAGATCACAAAGGGACAAGTGCCAAATTCAGAAACCAATTTTGATTTTGATTCAATGAATTTATTTGGTTGCTCTGTGTCACACAACCTATAGCATGTTTTGTTTTAGTATTCTTAATTCCAGCACTGTTGTCTTTAAACAACAACAAAATATTATCTTAGTTAATTTTGGCCGCTATAACAAAATACCATAGACAGGATTGCATTCAATCAACAAAAGTTATTTTTCACAACTTTGGAGCCTGGAGGTCTGAGATCTTGTGAGGGTCTGGTGCAGGCCCCCTTCCAGGTTGTACAGTGCAGATTTCTTATGTATTTTCATGGTGGGAAAAGAGCTGGAGAACTCTTTGGTGTCTCTTTTATAAGGACACTAATACCACATGGGAATTCTTCCCTCATGACCTAATTACTTCCCCAAATTTCCACCTCCTAATACCATTACCTTAGGGATTTGGATTTTAGCATATGAATTTGGGTTGAAGGGACACATACATTCAGTTCATTACAATTACTATCCTGAGAAAGTTTTTATTTGTAAAAGGGCTATTTTTTATTTGACTAAACAATGCAAAATAATAGCTACATTTTATATTCAGTGATATAGTCCCACTAATTTTACTAATAAGTTATTTAACTAAAATCTAAAAATATTTTCACATGGATAGGATATAACTACTTCTCTCCAGATTTCTACTGCCATATTTTGTTTAAAATATCACCCTTTTGAAAGAGTCTTGTATACATTGAAACCTATTTTCGACTTGATTGTCAATGAAGAAAAGTGTTGATGTTATTGGTAGTAAGGATTTTCATACTGTGAATTCATGTCCTGTCATTTCTCCAATGAATACTCTATTTTTGAGTACAGACTAGTGTGCATAACAGAAAAATAAGAGGTGGTAAGAAAATTGTGCCTCTTTTGCACCTGCATTCATCTTGTAGACAGGTGTTTATAGCTGCTTTAAATGAGTGTTTGGATAATATGATGCACTTTTTTTTTTGCTATGCCAGAGCAAGTAATCAGGCTCCAGAAAAAGATATGTGCTTAAAGAAATTTGTCGATAAGTTGACAAAGTTGGTCTCTATAAAGATCTAATGGGCTTGACTGTTTAAGTGCTTGCTTGGAGACCATTATGAAGACAGAACTTCTAACAATGCCAATGGCAGTACGGGCAAAAATCTTCAATTATTTACTGTACTAGGATTTTAGGATCAATATTCCTTTAATATATACAGTTTGGAGCCCAGATAGGACTTTATATTTCAGTATTTCACTCTGCTATCTGGAAAAGATTGTTTTAAAAGAACAAAACGTGACTATTTAGAAATTCCATCATGATATGTGAAACTTGGCATAGGTGATAATAAAACACATATATTAAAGGCCTTTGTTATGAAATATGGGATCAGGAACTGTTATACATGTTGTGTTCTATTGATTGAATTCTCTGATTTTTCTTTGCTTAACCTTGTTGCTTTTCTGAAACCTGTGTGGCTTCTTAATAGAGTGATGCTACTACCAATGGGCATAATTTCTTTAATAAGGCATTACACAGAGAAAATCTCAAAAGAAGTTTCAGAAACCCTTACTTAAAAGCCAAGCTTCAGTTCAAAAACCTAAACAAACTAAAATTGAATGGCCCATTCATCCCATTGCTAAAGAAGATAATTTTGATTGCTTAAAAACTGTACTCTCTTCAGCATCACACATACTAAAATTGGAACAATATGGCAAAGATTAGCATGGCTCCTGTACAAGGATGACATGCAAATTTTGAAGCACTCCATATGTTTTATTAGACCTCAAAAAAAAAGTACTTCTCCCAAAACTTCCCCATTATCCTACTTAATTCCTTTAATTTTTATACTGATTCTATAATAATTTTAGTCATTGTTCTAAATGAATAATATTTTCATATACTTAACAAAATAAAATAACACAAAAAATTGTCCTTCTATGCCCTGTAAATAATCATTTCATTCTTTTTCTTGTGTTATCCTTCCATTGTTTCTTTATGTAAATGCAATCAACCAATATGAATGGCTATTTTTCCTCTCACAATTGTAAGTTTCATAAGGCCATAGAAATGGATTTGTTTTATTTCATTACTATATCCCCAGTATCCTGTTATACAGTATGCACTTTATGTGGATCAAGTTTATCAATATTGATATAAAAATAAATAAGTAAATATTCAAGGAACAACTAGCAAGGTCATACATACCACTTGGTTTCACTGGAATGGATTCTTTTCTAGGGAGGACTGAAGTCCCAGACAGCTTAGAGATGCTAAACAAATATTACCAGGAAAATGAAAACAGGTTTCTCTATGGTTACCTCTTGCTATTAGTTGGATTACTTTAATACCGTCCAGGCAAAAAAGATTAGAGAATGTCAATGTTTACCCGCCTTCATTTTGTGTAAGTAAAGACATACCTCCAACAGTGGAAATGTCCACCTCTCTAAATGCAATAAAACTACTGTTTATGTGAAAAGATGCACTAGTTCAAAGAGAGAGACAAGTCAGAGATAGTGATGCATGTGAAACTGACTTCCTCAAGGAAAATGACAAAAAAAAAAACAAACCAACAAAAACACAAAAACAAACAAAAAAACCCACTTCTATCTCAAAAAGATTCAAGGTCACCTTGCACTTATATAAACAGAAGAATTAAAAATTAGGAGAAATTTTTTCAGTTGATTTATGATTACTGAATTTAATACAAATGATATAATCACTGAATATCAGGTTAGATGCTACAGGAAACTGAATCAGTGAATTGAAAAAAACAGCTCAAGCAATTACCAGAGAACAGAGAGGAAGCAAATTAAAGGGTTACTACAAGCAATACAGCATAATCCACATGGATGATGGAGCCAGAAAATCAAACATAGGCATAATGAGGAATACCTAAAATGTGTTCCCAAATGTATGTAACGGTCATCCAATGCATGCTTTCCTTGTCCCCCTCCCAGAGATGCTATTTTAGTATACCTAGAAATGAACTTAGGTGTATCTATTTTTCAAAATAAGTACATTAAATGATTTTAATGATGTGGAAAATTTGGGAAACACTGCCATAAATGAAAAAACAACTATAGATGCATAAAAATATTTTTAAAAATTTATAAAGGATTATTTTCAGGAGTTCCACGATGTAAGAATTCATGAAATACTAAGAAAAAATAATGAAAAGAGATATATTTTCATACATTTAATTTCAGACAAAAGGAGATATTCTTCAAATATAGATTCAGAAAAAATAATTATAAAAGAAAAAAATCACTTGCAATTTTCTATAAGAGTAAATACTAGATGTCAAAGAAAAAAGGTCAACAATACGGCAGAAAAATCTACATTCCCTGACAAGACCTTGTCCACTGCAGGAGTGATAGAAGGACATTTGGCATGCAAATAACAACTCAGAAAGTGTTTTATTTGCTTGTACATCCTGAAATTTATACACATGAAATGCTAATTAAAAAGGAGACAAGAGGGCTGAGGATATAGCTCAGTTTGTAGAGCACTTACCTTGCACACACAAGGCCCTGGGTTCAATCCCCAGCACCACACACAAAAAGTAGACACGGGGGAAGCATGTCCTAATATTGTTAACATTGCTTGATTTTGATTTTAAAATATAACTTAATGAATTAGGATATACATAATTTCAAAAAATGAAATTAAAATAGTACTAATCTAGATTTTTAAAAAGTTTATTACAACAAAAACTTGGGAATGAGAAGAAAAAAATGCATATAAAGTTTTCACTTTGTACATGTATATTAACACACATTGTTTATTTTTTACCTTGTTAGAAAGATAAATGTTAAGATATAATTAAAACATAAATGTGACCACTAGTTGGCCGAATATATGATACCTAGAAGAAAGACTACATATACCATGCTTCCTTGCAGCTCTGTGTGGCCCTGTTGTTTGAAAAAAGATGGGAGAATCCCAAAAAGGAGAGACACAAGGGGGAGCTCCAAATTCTGTGTACATAATTAACACCGTGGCTGATTTCAGGGCTACACATATGAGGAGCAAGATTTCAAGCTATTCAGGGAAAAAAAAGAAGCTAGAAGGTTAACAAAACCGCACAAAGATATTAGCAGTTGCATAGATGGTGGGAATGTTGTTAGGAGTTAGATTTCCATCAACATTGTGGTATTTGGAAAGCACCTCAGACTTTCTATAGAAACTGATGGGTTATAGCTTAGAAGTAAGAACCATCTCAGGATTAAGGCTGCAATTGAAATAGATCTGTTTAAACAAAGTCTGAAACCATAGCTTCATGCTGTCAAGGTGATCTTCTAATTGCTACTAGAACAAAACTCAATACTCTTTCAGAGAAAGATGGAGATTTTTACTGGAAGCTAACTAGAAAAATAGATCAATAGGATGCACTAGTTCAGAAACAAACCCAAATAAGCATGCTGTGTTAGGTGAAACTAGATTTAATTACATTGTACCATAAAAAGACTCAAAATAAAGGCTGGTCTACAAGTTATAATTTACTTATATAACGTGTAAAGTCATTTACAATTATAATGTAGATATATATATATATTTCCTGTTATGAGATCTGTTACTATGTTAAGTGAAAAAGCAGGTTTCAAAAGAAAATATATGATAAATATTTTTGCTATAAAATAACATTACACAGCAATAAGGTTATTAAATTATAAAAACTAGTCTCAGATAATAAGCAGGAAAATATCAAGCCTATTTATTTCTGGTTTTTAAAGTAACAAGTGATTTTTTTATCATATGTCTGGGTTTTCTAATGAAAATAAACAAGTTAAAGACAGTGTTACTATAAAGTTTTTAAACCCTTCATTTTTCTGGCTATATTTACTATTGTGAGCTTTTTGAATAGATATTCTTTAGGAAAATAAGGGGTCATTGCCTTGTAATGATTATTACTACAGTTGAGCTGTATTTGTGTTACATAGGTTTCTGGGGCTGGCCTGTCCAAAATATATAACACTGAATGTAGAAGAAAATGTACTTGGAGTTTCAAAATAACATTCCATGGAATAAAGAGTACTGTAGGATGGGGACTTCTTGTTCTGTTCTACTCACTCTGTCCCTTTGGCAATCACTTGCTCTTTGGGGCCATTCTAAGTCTCTGAATAAACAAGAGACAATCTGTGTTCATACTTTGAGTGGCAAGTTTAATTTAGACAATCTGCAAATTTGAGAAAAAGATTCCATCAACTCCCTCAGAGCTCCTTTTTTCGCCTCAAATTGGCCAAAGCTCTTCCAGTCTTTCCACAGCCGTAGTCGAGCTCAAAAGTGTGTACATAGAGCTCTGTTGGTTCAATTCAGTACCAGCATCCAATGGAACTCAGTCAATTGTAAGCCCTCGAGAGCTCCTTTTAGTCTCGGGTCTCTGGTTTCCTGGGTGATGTAGACATCTGCACTCATGGGAGAACAATACACAACTTTGTTACCAGAAGGGTAAGCTACTTGAGTTCTGTACAGGAAGGAAGAAAATCAGAACCTGCACAGCATTTAGATTAAGATTTAGGGGTAACATTTAGGGAATAAAACTGGAAATATGTCATTTTGTGCTGCAATATTAAAATTGAAGGTCCATAGGGAGAGTAATATCAAAGCCCAATGCATGAATAAATCTCTTTTCTCCCTCTTCAGTTTGGAAACAAACCTCTTGTAGATAACCACAGGTCACTTTTAGCTATTGATGTTTAAATAATTTTTTTAATTGCTATTATAGGTAGTCCTTGCTTTGCACAGTAGTGCAGGAACATTAAATAACCGTACAAGCTGAAATCATGCAAAGCAGCCTTAATAATGGATGTGAAAGTTTGTAATTATTCTGTGGTTATTAGAAATTGTCAAAACATAAAAAATTTTACTATTGATTTTAAAAATATACAGAAAAATTTTAAGTAGTGAAACATTTAATTAGTAGACTGTTATATATTAGAAACCTTAATAATTCAATGGTTTTATTTCTTTGTAAAAAGATATATCAGGGATAGCTCAAACAATGCTTGTGTTAGCCCAGTGGCTTTTGGTTCCTTGTCTCTGATATATGCCAGGACAGGGGTTGGTTTGAGTCAAAGAGAAAGGAACCTCATTGTGTGGTGCAAGTCAGGAACCCAGACTGTTTCATGACCAATAGTTCCCAAGCTCCCCGAAGACAAAGAGTTTTTTTGGTTTGTGTAGAGTCTTAGGGGTACTCAAGGGAGGGAGAATCCCCAGAGGAAGGGTAAGGAGCTGGTTTTGTAGCAGAACATATATTACATTTGCATGTTTTCTAGAACATGTGTCCCATGTTCTGCCTTGGGTGGAAATTTTAGCATTCCAATCAGGGTGGGCTGCACATTTGGCATTGTTGTTTGGAAGAGCTGCTGATTTTTATTGTATTTTGCATGTTGTTTATTCTGGTTTCAACTAAACAGGGAGTTATGGTCAGCACCCTCTGTTTTAATGTCTTTTGAGCCAATGTTTGTGAGGTTAAGCAATCATCCGTCAATGCTTCATCCTTCACTCTTTCAATGTTATGAAATATTATCAAGAAATCCTTTAATAAGAATGTTTGAAAGCATCACTGTCCTGGGACATCATCTTCTTTTTCATCATGTATGAAAAAGGAACATACATTTTCCTTATGTGTGTTCATAGGTTCACCTTCACTCTGTTCTCTGTACATCTAGAGCATCCTCAATGGGGACAGTGTGAACATTCCCATAGTCAGCTCTCACTGCTTATCTTCAATTCCAATTTCTTTCCTGCTGTGATTACTCTTGGTTTCTTTGC